TGTGTTTTTGAAATACTGATTCCCCCGTATGGCAGCTTATAGTGAGCGTTAAAGGACAGAATGGATAAGTCCCATTTTTGGTCCCTGGTTTTTGGTGTCTTAGAATTATGCAGCAGTTTATCAATTAAAACCTGCTTCAGCTCTGCATCAAAATGAGCATTGGCTCCTAGTTATAGAGTACACAGAGGTCGCAGGAAGGTAAGAAAATGCATGTGTGTTAATTTTTGGATTTTCTCATTTTGTGCAATTTTTCATCGATTGTTCAGCACATTTTGTTTTTTAGAAAACATACAGCACAAGTTTGCCTTTACTCTAAAGAACGAGTGCACTTATGGGCCCCGGTAAAATGTGAAAAAATAAACATTCAAATTAAGCAAAATTTTTCATCCCAAATCATTAATTGATATCTAAACCATAAGATTCAACAAATTTTACCGCTGAAATTCACGTATATACAAGGAACAAAACCATAGAATGCGGCAGGGGTCAACCGACATTTGTGATTTTCTATAGTAAATCGAGAACGGTCAGTCAATTCAAAGCTTTTGTTTACTATGAGCCTAACTTTGTACAAACTTGTGCGAATGACAAAAGACGCATTATACATTTATAAAACTTGTGTGAAAGTAGGAAATTTGTACACGATTAGGCTGGTAGTTAAAATATTAAAAATGTACAAAAAGTACAATGTTTTTTCTATAGCAAGTGAGAGGTATTTACCTGTATGACCCATGTTGAACCCACGTGTGGAATAAATTATTTAAAATACTGATAGTCACGTGAGTTCTACCAAGATAAACATTCATCAAAGGTGCTCACTGTAAAACATCGGCAGTTTTTTTTATCATTTAGTCAAAGTTGCGCCGCTTAGAAATATTTCTATGTATCAATATTTAAGATTACGGTAGGGTAAAGAGAGTTTAGCGCAACTCATAAAAGTGTCAGACATTTTTAACATGTATGCAAGACAATGAAACAGGTATTGAAAGCCACCTAAACACTCCTTTTAGATTTCAAATTCATTTTATTGTATATGTTTTTTCAAATGCAAGAGTACCGATTTCTTAGTTTGATTATTATGGCTACAGGCAACTACAGAACTTCTTTCAATTTTTTAAAACAGATATAGCACAAAAAATTACATTCCACAAACGCGCCCGACTATGATCCACCATCAGATTGTTCAAGATCTCATCGCCTTGATTTACATAAACGAAACTAAAAGAAGGTTCGGTTCGACTTTTCCGGATTTTTAGGGTGTCCATATAGGCATTTAAAAAAAGTCAATTGTTTCAAATCCATGCTGATTTTGGTGATGATTATCGTGCTTTTTAATTAGAAATATACACTAGTATATAACTATTTCCAAAAGAGAACGATTTGGTTATATATTCTAAAGTAAAATGGCACATAAAAAGGGCCCATTAAGCATTACTTAAGTGCACTTGTCCTTTATATATTTCATACACTAGTATCAGATGCATTTTAAAAACTTATATAGGCAAGCTTGTTCTCTATATTACCCGGAGTGAAAATGTGTTAAATTTAACGAATGTCCACCAGAATCGAGGTAATTCGGGAAAATGTCCTACTTATGCACTCTCTTGAGCGCTTGAATCAAAATTGGTGCTGTTTTTTTTTCAAACAATCAGCATAACTTCAAACCATCATAGTTTTAACTGTGTTCTGTTTTTCTACATCAAATAGGACCAGATTCGACCGCTACCACACCCTGTACTTTCTTAAATTGAAGTCATACTCAAGGTTTAAGGTCAAAATTGTAAAATCTAAGGAAAGGTCTTGTTAAGAAGGATACATCTTTTAAATATAAATGAAAGCCCTAGTCGTACTGTTCAATAGTTATGGCCAAAGATTAAGTTTTTGTTAAAGTTGGTCAAACTCTAAGGTCGAGGTATAAAAGGTCAAATATACTAATTTCCATTAAAGGTATTGCCACAGTGAATACATATCTGAAGAATGAAAAATTTGAGGTATTGATTGTGACGTCAAAATACCCTGCACGTTAACTGACTATAGAGGCTACTGCATTTATGTACTATATAACAAAGATATAAACTTATTTCTTAAAAAGTCAGGATAACTAAAATTCATAAGATATATTTTTATTTCTTATTTTAGATGAAAATTGGCCTTTTCTGTAATTTATAAAATTTAAATAAATCGGGTGTCAAAGATTTCAAAAAATTTAAACTTTAAAAGATTTATTTACAGACTTAGCTTTTAAAAGACAGACAAATTCTAAGTAAATTCAACTATGGAAACATGAGGTTATTCGAGTCTAAAATCGTTGAACATTATAATTTGAACGTGAATAACGTAAATTATATGTTACATATCTACACAATCTCATACTACCGGGTACTTCCACTTATAGCTTTAAAAAAATACTTGTACTCCCAACAAATCAGAATTAAGCATAATTGTTTCATTAAAATATATTAATAAATGTCTTAATTTTCAAAGTATTTATTGATTGATAGAAGAAATACGCCCTACAAAGTATAACCCACTGAGATTTCATCACTCTTGCATACATATCCCTGTGTTTAATTCTGAAAGTAGCATAATGTAGGAATCCATTACTCAATATATTCATCAACATTTGAAATACTCATATTATCTGATGAAGCTATAGCCCTTTAAGGTTTAAACTGATAAAATAAAAGGACACGCGCGTGTTTTCAAAAAAAAGAGAAAATGATAGCAGCATAATGTAAGAACCAGTTATGCTTATCTTTATTCTAAATTGCATTTTCTTATGTTTAAAACTAAGGAAGTTATTATAATAGTCATTTAAACTTTCATACAATTGCAGCACACATATACATGTACGTTATCAAGAATTACAACAACATAATGTGGGAACCAATTATACCTTCTCTCATTATCTTTATTCTTCATCTTTAATTTCACTTTGTTTTGTTTTAAACTAAGGACGTTACAGTAATTTAAACAATCAGCCAATCAAATTACAGCATTCGTACATGCGCGTGTTGTCATTAATTCCTCATATAGCATATTGTAGAACCTTATGATATATTACATATAGTAAAAGTGTTTCGTCAAAATACAAGGGAGTAATTAAGATGTTTGTTTAAGCCAATCAGAACGAAGTGCATGTGCGGGAATTCATGAAAATTTGATCATGTATTTTTGTCTAGGCTTTTTATTTTTTATATTACGCGTTTCTATTTCTTTCTCAAAATTTTAGAAGGTACAGTTACATTATGTATATCAATCATTTAATTCATTGCACGCACGTACGTGTATGCATGTTGTAGATTTTAAATGTACCGGATGGCAGTAAGATACAATTTTACATCCGCATTTTTTTTTACTGTCAGTCAGTTATTTGCAAATTTAACATATTACACTGCTCTCTTTAAATGTACAAGATAGAATTTTTATTGAGTATCTTACAGCCTCTTAGTTAAGGCCAAGTTTTAGTAAATGATAGGTGCCTTCAGGTCTCTAAAAATTGAGATTCGGATTCTTCTAATGAGCATCCTTTTGCAAATGTAGCTTGGTAAAATTTAAATGTATGAGGACTTATATAATTTTTTAAGTTTACTCAAAGGAAATACATATTTCAAACTGCCGTTTTCGATTAAAAAGAGTATTTTTATAAATATGGGAGTTTTACCAGACAACAGCCTCTCGTAATGCAGGTTTTCTGAATTCATATCTTTTTGACCTTTTTTTAAATAATGATAACATGAACAAAGTGGGTAGCGGGGTTACTTTTGACACTCTTTTGAAGTGAATGCCATGAAGTCTTTATTTTCTACATATTTCTAATCCTGAAGTAAAGTATAAGGGGAAAATTAAGTTAAAATAAAATCCAGGTTTTGTTTAAACTAAATGTTTAATTAAAGCATGGCATTCAATTCAATTATATGTCAAAAGTAACTCCGCTATTATCATTTTAAAGAAGAGGACAAGAAGAAGATATGCGAAAACGTTTTCTGTAAGCAATACTGATACATTTCCTGCGTTAGAAATCGATAAAAAAAATTGATGTTTATACAAGACCTTCTTCTTTTTTGGCAGTTTGTTTTCAAAATTTTTTCATTGAGTTTATCAACATTTTTAGGTCAGAATACATGTTATTATACCAAGCTAGACTTTGTTTCTCAGTTTGTAGAAATATGTAGACACCTTTCATTTACTAGAATTTGATCTAACTTCATTTACAGGGACATGGGCACAGTTTCAACTAATTTTTAAAAAAACCAATTTTAATGTTTACAATACCTTATAAAGGCAATTCAAATGATCAGCAAAAATTTGAACATCATTTGTTGATTTACAAAGAAAATACAGAACTTAAAATTCTTCATAATGTAAACAAGACTCGTGTTTTGTTTACATATGAAAAATATTTCAATAACTAGTATAAAAAGACAAGATTCAGCAAATCGCTAGAAACTGTTTAATTGTTTTTAGAATTAACTATTGGAAAAATCTGCTTTGAACGAACATATATTAATATGTTCAATGACTAATTTTGGTGCCTTCAGATCTCTAAAAATTGAGATTCTCTGAATGAAATAATTCAATTATATTCAGTGAATAAAATATACCGGTATTTAAAACTAACATATTTTAATATATATAACCTATGTAAACAAATTCATGACACGAGCCTTGTTTACATTACAAAAGTTTGGAGCTCTATATATATCTGTCCTGTATCTCGACAACTGAAATTCCAATTTTTAATCATCATTAGAAATACCTTATTTTAGTATTTGTAAACAAAAAAAAAAAAAAAAAAAGAAAAATAAATTATAAAATTTTGGTTTAATTTGTGTCCATGTCACATAAAGATGTAATATAGATATGTTTTCAAAATATATTCTATCGAAGTATCAAATTACGTAAGTTGTTTTAGTATCATAAAGGAAATTTATAAACATTGGGAATCAAGAGTAGAAAAGATTTTCTGTCATTCAATTATGAAATATACACTGTGACTATTTTTATAATATAGGCAAGGGTATTTGAATAATAAATGTAATCTGTTCGATAATATTTTCGTTCTTTCTTCTAGGGCTGTGAAGGCGTACCTATTTTTGCAGCTTCTGTTGGATCATCTTCAGGCAAATTCTTAATTTTCTCGGTGATTTGGGTTTTTAGATCGCTCAACTCTATTCTGTATTTATTCATCTGGGCCTCCATCAGATTTAAATGAGAAAGGATCATTTTTTTGGCAGTAAAGTTTATGAAATACTCTAGATTCTCAGTATTTGTAAGAGGACATCTTTCCATCACACTATCTTCACTGAAAATATTTTGACCCGCCACTGCCAAAACTGACCATACCAGTAGTAGTACTACTAGATTAGTTGTATCCATTTTGCAATCTACAAAAAGAGCGACAAATTATGAATAAGTCTTTCGAAACAAATTTTAAACAAGATGTAATTGTGAAACACTAAATCTTTGTTAAATGCAAATTAATTATATCAGTACCCTGATTAGGGTCTTCTCGCAAGAAATACAGATCTGAAATATGAAAGCCCTAGCACCACCTGTTTGAGAGGTAGGACAGACTCCAAGGTCAAAGGGTCAAAGCTCTTGGTTTCAAAGGTCTTGTAAAAAGGATTACATATGTGAAGTATGAGAGATCTATTCCTAAACGTTCAAAATTTATGGCCAAGGTTAATTTTAAAAAGAGGTCAAATTCCAAGTTCAATGTCAAAGGGTCAAAGTTCTCGATATCAAAAGAAAGGTCTTGTCACAAGGATTAACTATATGAAGTATGAAAGCCCTAGCCCTAAACCTCCAAAAGGTATGGTTAAGGTTTGTTTTTTTTTTTAAAGTAGGTCAAGGTCAATGGTTAAAGTTCTTTGTATCCAATGGAAGGACCTCTAACAAGGATTACATGTACATATGTGAAGTATGAAAGTGCTAGCCCTTACTGATAAAAGTTATGTCCATGGTTAAAGCTTTTTTTTTTTAATAAATACGGAGATTTCGAAGGTTAATGGTAAAAAAGTTAAGGTTGTTGATATCCAATAAAAGGTCTTTCCACAAAGAATACAAATGTATAATATGAAAATCCAAGCATCACCATTTAAAAGTGATGGGCAAAGTAAAAGTTTTGAATTTTTGTGTAAAGTGGGTCAAACTCCAAAGTCAAAGTCAAAAGGTTATGGACATGGTTTAAGTTTTTGCGGACAGACAGTCAAACAGACAGACAGGCCTTGTTGAATTGATTGTTTTAGTTCATTGTAGAAAAAAATGTTCAATGTTCACCTGGAAATTATTGTACATAAGGAGCTATGTGATAATTCGTATGTTGACCTCATTTGTCTGGGTTTTAGGCTTGAAGGACAATATGTAAATATATGAGATATTCAAGTTTCTTTTGTGAAATTCTATAACGGGTTAAAGTTGTACCAAATATGATGTATTTTATATTTACTTTGTAACATTCTAAGGTTGGCAAATGGAAGGATTTCATTATAGCCGACCGCTTGTAAAAAGATCGAGCTTCGATATTCAACATTGTTTTTAATGAATTCTGAATAGTTTTGTGCAAAAATCTAAATTATATAAATGAAAATAAACTTTAACTTTAACTTTTGTTAAATGAAAATTAAATTTCTTGGTACACAAAGTAAGGTCTTCTCACTAAACATTAATACAGATGTGAAATATGAAAGCCCTAGCACCACCTATTCAAAAGTTATGGCCAAGGATAAAATTTTTAAAGGTACATCAAACTCCAACGTCCAACTGTCAAAGTTGTGTTTTCTTAAGAATGGTCCAAGCACGTAGCAACGGGGGGAGGCAGGGGGAGGCAGGGGGGTCTCCCCCCCCCCCACTTTTTTCCCAACTTTTCCTTTACTATTGAAAATGTCTGTAGAAAGGTTGTTAGCCCCCCCCCACTTCTTACCACCGCACCACCGCATAGTAATATCAAGGAAATGTAGTAGTGAATGCAAAAAATTGGAAGTGAAAGGAAGTTGGCCTTGAAAAAAGTTGGCCACTACCCCCCCTCCCCCCCCCCCTCCCCCGAAATAAGGTTTTCGGGGGTTGGACAATTTCCTTTTTTTGCTTGTCAACTTTTTACAGGTTAGTAAAAAAAATTTCTCTGGTTGCCCCCCCCCTTTCAAAAACGATGCTAAGTGCCTGGTCTATTGTGACAAGGATTACATTTGTAATGGTAGGAAGCCATGGCCCTAACCGTTCAATAGTTATGACCAAGGTTAAAGATTTTTAAAACAATGTCAAACTCCAAGGTCAAAGTTCTTAATATCAAATGAAAGGTCTTGTCATTCATATTGAAAATATATTATTGATTATTTCTATTATAGTTAACTATAGCATCTATAAGTAAAAACATGAAAACTTTGAAACTTTGATTCCCTATTACTATAGCGAAGAACTTTACTTTGATCTACTATATTGAAAATTTTAAAACATTGATATACTAGAGTAACTGGAGTAAAAGCTTTGATTTACCTTAATAAAAATTTTAAAAATCATGTATTTACTATTGTTAAGACTTTAAATAACTATACATATTTATACCTAAAAATGAAAAGGAAAAAAGAATTTTTGCAAAAAAAAATTACCTTTGGACAACCGTAGTATTTTAAGCCATAAACACTTATCCAGCTACAAAACTTGCATGGTCCAATGATAAGTTTAAAATCTTCCGAGAGAAAAAAATGCTGTGTTGAAATTCAATCCAACTTGGTAAATATTACCTAATGAAATAGGGCCATATTGTATGAGCGTTGTATTATTTCTTTTAAAAAGCACGTAACTTTATTTTTCTCTTCTGACAATCATGTCTCCTTGACTCAAGGTTGACGGTGTGCTACTCTTAATCGATGGAGATTGTAATACAATACGAATACTGAATGACATACTTAGATTATATTAAACTAACTCAAAAGTTTCGAGATTAAAATAAATACCTACCTCCCTAATGTTTCTTAAGTTTACAAAGTTAACTTAATGTATGCCAATGTAACAGGGGTATTAAAGAAAAGTAAGTTATTCGTCAAATGAAACGCCTAACACATTTTATCTCTACACTCTAGCATAGAGGTATTATTTACAATATATCAACTACATTTCATGTTAAAAAAAATTAACCAACATTAAAAGACATACTTATATGTCCCGACTAAAAAAAATACTAGTATTTTTTTTGAAGCTATGAAAAATATAAATGATTTAAATTAAAAGCAAAAGAAACTCCAACACAATTTATTTATTTTTGTCAATTTAATGTTCCCTTCGAGAACATTTTACTACTAGTAACTTTAAGATTACAAGTGCAGGGCTGCAAAATCTAGACCTTTACTCGGCACGCAGGACCATTGACATGAGAGGGATCTTTACTCGTTTTATACGGTCTCATCCGAAGACAAGTTTTCCCTTATATATATATAGGACCCTCCTCCCCCCCCCCCCCTTCGATATAGACCCCTGGGCTTTTACGACTTTTTTCTCATAAATAATTTTTCATTGACATATTTGTGATAAGATCTATGCCAACAAATCAAAGAATTACCTAAAACAAACGTTCTATAAAATCTACCCTACATTCTATGTTAAATAGAGAGTGGGGTAGAAATTTTTATAAAATGTTAGTTTAAGCAATTTTTCTGAATTGACGGGATAGATTATATCACAAATATGTCATCCGTATATACTTTATGTGAAAAAAAGTCTAACAGGCCCGGGGGTCTATACTTGGGGGGGGGGGGTCCTGTCCTCAAGCACCTGTGGACTAATAGAGTTCCAAAACATCCCAGGTACAAATTGGACCCTAAGGGTTTGATGCTCTTTTCGCACTCTTGAAACCTGTAGATTAAATTCAGTCGATTCCAAGTGCAGCGTCAAAAACTTGTTTAACACGGGTAGTGACATTTCCAATCCTAAGTTTTTAGCTTTAAAAGTAAATGTCATGGGTCGTTTGGATATTATCTTTAAAAAATGTCCCGTCCTGCGCTAGGCGTTGGTCAATAATGCAAAGTGCATTAATCAAAATTTTGACACTTGTCTTTTAAGTGGATGATCTCTTTATCTGGGTGAAGAATCCTAAAATGGGGTAAAGCAACATTCAATTATCAATCATATATGGCATTTATGAAAGCATTCCCCCTTTTCAGTTTATTTTCTAATACAGGACTGCTGTTCTCGTAACTTATATCAAGTGTGATAAATAGATTAAGTCCTCTCAATTAAGACCCAGTTAACAAAATATATGGATCCTTGTTACTCGTACGGAAGTGTCCCTTTAAAAGTTATGTGTGTAGTAGAAAATAAATTTATAACACAAATAGAAAATGTATACTGAAAAAAAAAAACGTTAAGGATCATCATATTAAATATGTTTTACAAATACTGTATCATAGAAAACAGAATTCAGTTTTAATTTTAGTATCATATTTTTTATTTAAAAAGTGAAAATTAAACATTGGATGTGATAAATTTGTTTGAACACACGCTGCGAATTGTTCATTACGGTCACTTTAGAATTCGGCATGTTGGGGGTAGACCTCAACATGAGTTTTTTTTTCCAGAAGAGTCAAATTACGTCACTAAAATGATTGCCAGTATTTTGTATGACCTCCCCGCGAGGCCGTCCAAGGCTAGCCTGATGGATCTGTTGCAATTCCTCCTGCAATGCTGTCTGAAGCTCCCGTCGATTTTGGGGGAGTGTAAGATGAACTGAAATGCTTTGCTAAAGAATGTTCCAGGCATGTTCAATTAACTTCAGGTCTGGAGAACGACTTGGCGGGTCCATACGCTAAGTTGTTTCACTTTCCATGTACTCGTTTAATGATTCGGACTCTATGAGGTCGAGCATTATCGACCATTAAAATGAAATCTTCCCCCAGAGTACATGCAATACGTCTAACAATAGGATGAAGAATATCATTTCGGTATTTTAAACCTATCAGGTTGCCTTCAATAATGTGCAGATCAGTTTTGCAGTCAATACTTATGCCTGCCCAAATCACCACCAAACCTCCATTTACTCTGTATTTCTCAGAAGTGACACAATCAGCATATCTTTCAAAACTGGCGATCCAAACAAGTCTCCTGTCATCATGGAAGTCAAAACAAAATCGCGACTCGTCTGAGAAAAGAACAGAACTCCAATGACGTTATTGCCAATTTTTTGTGTTCTGTTGCCCACTGAAGTCGATTTGTGCGGCACTCTAATTTTAATATAGGACGTACGGCTGGTCGGCAAGCCTTGAGATTTGCTTCCTGAAGTATGTTTCAAACTGTTTGAGAAGAAATCCGTCTGCTCGTTGCTCTCTGATGCTCAGTATTAAGCTTAAGAGCACTTTGGAAGCGATTCGTCTCAGCAAAATTGGCCAAATAACGATCCTCACGGACTGCCGTACACCTTGGACGGGAGTCCCGATTTTAGCCTTTTTGACAATATTCTGCGTGTAAATATCGGTTCCATAACCGTTAATTCCTCTTTGGGAAAGATAAAGTCTATCTGCAATGTGACATTGCGTTTTACCAGCTTCCAGCATCCCTGCTACCATGGAGTGTTCGTCCATACCCATATGCCTCCTCATAGCGTCTTATCACCAGTTCTGGCCAGATATGCTGAAATTTTCTGATGTTCACTAAAGAAAACCCTCTTTGATACTTCTTTGCTCTCATTGTTCCACTTACTTTTTGAACGCCACGTATTTTCTTGACCAATATGTCCCAAAACTCATTAAACACTTGTGATCTAAGTATCTAATCATGTAAATTACATGTTTTTAAAACTACTTAAGCCTTGTTGTCACATAAATTCATGGGTATAAAAATATTATTCTTGTGTAAAAAAAAAAAGTTATCCCTAACTTATTTTGCCCAGTATATTTTACCGCTTCAACAAGGATGGCTTTATCATTTATAGAACAAATACAATACTTAGAAGGAAATACAAAGATGATATGCAGTACTCATAAGAGGATTCAAAGAAGTAGCATACATGGATAAATAAACTATCATTATAAATATTCATACATGTAGTTATAAAAGATAACTCATATTCACGCCTTCTAGCCTATAAAAAAGTTTTGATTTTTATCAGACATTTCAACGAAACGTCTCCACTTGTAATTTCATGACATCCAGTCTTTCTAGTCCTTTGATTTTAGATTAATTTAGTAAAAGGCGGACATATTTTAGTAAAATATGCATTGTTTATATAAATTCTTAGTAAATCAACAGAAAATTGAACTCTAACCAAAAGTTCGTAAAAAGAAATAATCAACATCAGCTGATATCCTTCATTGTTTCTGCAAATACCGTAAAAAATAAGCGGAAAGTTTTTATTTACATGTCATAAGCACCTTTAACCAAATTCACAATTTGGTAGTCACTTTTTATGTTTATAAGAAATTTACATGCAAATTTTGGTGTTAGTTAAAGATGGTTATGATATGCGTAGGAGTTATCTGACACAACCACCCTCTTGAGTTTTCCCATTACTCTAATGCTAGTACGGACCGTTGGTACTTAACTTTGTGCCCCTATATCATAACAAATACTATTGTATCATTAACCAACCAATATTTATCATTGAATTGGAACATAAGCCTACTGATTCATGCGAGTTTTAAGGGAAAAAATACTATCTGAATACTTGAAGTCATTGTTGGCCGAAAAACGGCCTTATAGAGAATTATCCTTTTTCAAGAAGTGGGTCAAACTCGTAGGTCAAAGTAAAACGGTTAAAAATATTTAATTCAGCTGAAAGGCCTTGTCACAGTGAATACACATGTGATGTATGAAAACCCTAGATTCAATTGATCAAGAGTTATGGCGAAGGTTAAAGTGTGTTATTTTTTGTAAAAGTAGGTCAAACTCCAAGGTCAAAAGAGCAAATTTTGGTGGCACATAAAGGAATGCTATGTTACAAGAAATACACCTGTGAAATATGAAAGCCATAACCCCACCAATGAAAACTTATCGGCAAGGTTTAAGTTTTTGCAGAAAAACAGACGGACGGACAGCTAGACAGACGGACGAACAGAAAGGGCAAAAACCGCCAAAACTTATTTTTCGAGGGCATACTTCTTTAACTTTGCACAGTTAAAAGTAAATCAGTGCTTTTTATGTGTATCACACTGATACTTCGAATTTTACGATTATAAATGAAAAGAAAACTAGTAATACAAGTCACCAAGAACGACATATAATATTACATGTCTGCATGCATTATTTATTTTAACTTAAATCAAATATAAGAGAGGTCTAGGTTTGTGAGAACTAGAGCTTAGCCTTGGTCAGAACTTTGTCAATCTTAATTTTTATACACACCGCGTAAAAAGCGGGGGGGGGGGGGGTTATATAGTTATCGGGATGTCCATCCGTCCGTCTGTATAGCTGTTCGTCTTTTCCTCTGTCCGTTACTCTTTGGGGTACCCATGTCTTATTCGCAAATCATCTTATACCACTGAATGAAATTTCATGAAACTTTCACAGAATCTTTGTTACATATTGCCATTGTGACCTCCTTATTTTAATTTTTAATCAGACACATACTAATACTAATTACTTTAAGCCACAATATAACACAAATTCTCTTTTGAAAATGTTCATATTATTTGAAACATTTTCCAACTGTATTTTTCTTCTACTTTTTAAGATTATTTTGTACTTCCATATTAAGAAGAGGTCTGGAAAAAATTCTGTGCTAAAAATAGACCACGTACTGCTATCCATGAACTACTTTCATAGTTCTTTTACACTCATTTTGAAGACATTAGTACCTTGTTTTGAACTTGAAATTACCATTTAAAAGTGCAAAATTTAGACATTTTCTCAACAAATAGTTGTAGAGAGAACATGAATGCACACTTTGCATATTTTTTTGGATTTTTTAAGCCTCGGCTGAATTCTGTAGCTTCGCAGTTCTAAGGAGCATATCAAAAGCATTTTCTGAAAAAGTATGGATTATATACACAACTTGCATTCAATTATGCATATTTATTGTATCTTTATCATAAGGACTTGAAATATGATCAAAATTAATATAATGTATTTTAGCCATTTGAAGAAATGTTTACATTTTGTTCTCATTGCACTTATGGTGGCCGTACATCCCCCTTAATTAAGTAGATTTTGGGAATATAATATATCACAACCTCCCAAATGAGGATATAACTTGTCTTCCTTATTCCTGCTTTATTTATATACCCATAAGTGTATAAACATCCAAAAAGGTCATAGGTATTTTAAAACAATCAATATGCTACAGAGAAACATTGGTCTTTTTTTCTGTGTTATCATCGTCTATGTGTATGGCTGTCCTGATAAATGTTCTTGTAATGGGACAGTGGTGATGTGTGAAAATCAAGGATTTTCGTTTGTACCACAAGATATCCCCGACAAAACGACCGAACTGTAGGTATTCTGTAAACCCTCTGGCATATTCATATTCATTATGTAGTAAATATATTTTCTTTTAATTATTTCTTCAAGCGAGGTGATAATTCTTTTTATGTCAATTTTCTGTTGTATATAATAATTTTAATCATTTCTTGATTGTGGGTACGTGGATTGCTTTCTTAAAGACAACCGCCTCGTCTTTAAAACTTTCATATCTTGTCAGTTTTCAAAATAATTTTAAAGCTTTTTGACTCATAAAGTTCCATTACAATTATTGTCTTCCTCGGCGAATATACTTAAAACATTGTAAGTTATAATGTAGTCCTTGTTTTTAAGCTCACTATTTTAAGTATTGTAAATCAACTATTATTCGCGTCATCTTTTATTCGCGATTCGTCAATTTGAAATCAATCTGCGACCATTAATTTTTTCTAATGAATAAACATTCTCTTCATGATATCCAAAGCAAAATAAATAGTTTCCGAAGATTAATATTCGAGAGTTTAAGTAGGTCGCGAAACTCGCATGCAGATATTTCTCTCAAACGATTTTACAGTATATTGAAGAAGAACTTGGATTTAATTCTGATAATTGTTATCCACCTTAATGAAAAATTTTCTTTCATATTATATGTCAGTCTAAATTTGAGATATTTATACAATCAGATTGAAATTAATTTACGTATACCTACAATGGAAACTTGTGATGTTTAATATTACTAGTATTCTTATACATGTACTTTAAAAGAGCTTTAGCAAAATTTGAATACTTCTTTTTTTATTTTACAAAAAATCAATATCATCAAAACATGGATTTTTTTCACACTTACTACAACCATTCCCAACGAATAAGTAAACTCCAGGCTTTCTAAACGTCACAGATAGCTGCTTTTTCAGTAAATATACGTACCTTGTTATTGATCATAACAAAAATAATTATGTTAATAAATATCTGATTATTCTCGCAATCACTCTGAAGTTGATATTAAAAATGCTTTTTCTATTTAAATAAATGACAATAATATCTGTGTTACTCTTAGAGATAAAGTCTTTCAACAATCTATTTGAATTCCCATTTAATTTTATTGCGCTTCGATTTTGCAGACCTATTTTTCGCATTCACACAGAAGCAGCATTTACTCAAAAACTTTCCTTTTCCTTTTGATATATGAAATATAACTAATATCTGTGAATGTATTCATACAAACTAAAACAAATTCTGAATGAAAATATAAATGCTGAGCGTGCTTAACATCATAATATATAAATATACATGCTTGTTTTAAAACCAACATACTACTAATGCACTGATGTGTGCTCATTGAAATAAGTACCAAATGTCTTGAAAGTTATATTTCTTATGCATTGACCATGTTTTTTTTTAAATAATACGTTATAATATACGAATTATTACTGACCAAATATCCCAAATTTATTAAAATATGCCTGGTCATTTGTACAGAATTCTTAATTAATTCTCTACTTCGTAGATTTTTAGGAAGAAATGAGTTTGAGAGCATAACTGAAAATCAGCTTGAAAAAGGTGCTTCCCTGAAGAAATTGTAAGTATTTAATTACCAGTCTGCTTGGAGATGATATATAGACCATGCCTGATGTACAATCTATTTAAGAAAATGGATTTTACATAAAAAAAAAACTAATTGAATCAAATTAATTACCAGAAATATTCAACACCATACATTTTTGTGAAAATATTTAACTTGATTACAATTTATATTTATAAACTCTTTATCTATTTATGCTTAAAATTAAAAAAAAATAGTTGTTTAAGGACAAAAATTAGTTGAAATCGATTACCAACAACATGTGTCCTAATTTTTAGCACGTTCTTTCACAGTATTTCCTCATTTTAGGTATTTGTACAAAAATAGATTAAGTCATATTCACCCTGACGCCTTTACCTACTTGAAACAACTAGAAGTACTGTGAGTACAAACATTTCGTGTTCTGCTTGTGTCAGATTGTTTTCAATATACATAAATATAATGTGGGCGAAGAAATTACAAATGATATAATAAATATAAAAATTATATATATATATATATATATATATATATATATATATATATATATATATATATATATATATATATATATATATATATATATATATATATATATATATATATATATATATATATATATATATATATATATATATATATATATATATATATATATATATATATATATATATATATATATATATATATATATATATATATATATATATATATATATATATATATATATATATATATATATATATATATATATATATATATATATATATATATATATATATATATATATATATATATATATATATATATATATATATATATATATATATATATATATATATATATATATATATATATATATATATATATATATATATATATATATATATATATATATATATATATATATATATATATATATATATATATATATATATATATATTATATATATATATATATATATATATATATATATATATATATATATATATATATATATATATATATATATATATATATATATATATATATATATATATATATATATATATATATATATATATATATATATATATATATATATATATATATATATATATAATGATGAATATGCCTAAGTGCCTCTCTATCATTCTTGTTTTCTTTATTCCTGTAGATCGGCATCATACAACCACCTGAAAGTAATCAAACGTCAATATTTCTGGAAAACAATTCGACTGAAGTTATTGTAAGCGTAAAACATATAACATAAAAGTAAATTTTGATATGCTTATCTGTAGATTCAGTAATTAACAGCAGTCTGACAAAAGCCAGCCCCTACTATTTCACATCGTCCATAGGTCCATAAGGTCCCTGTTAACAGTATTATCTGAGAATATTTTCTGTAATTTAATTTTGCAAACCATCTATTAATGAGGAGTTTCTTGTTGAAGCAATTAGGAACATGAACATTTGTATATTGAATTCCAGTACGACGTATATACATACAGTAAATTCATAACAGTCCGCAAACCAAATTATTGTATTCAAATGTAACATATTTTTATATGATAAATAAGATATATATATTGACATGAAAGAAAGGATGATTGAGAATTATATCATCGGGATTTTTAAAATAACATACAAGATAATATGGTTATATATCCCAACCTAAATATAAGTTATTTTGCTGGCTATTAGGTTAACGTAATATATCTTTTATGTTTGTCGACATATGTAACTGAACATATGATATCTATTCAATGAAATATATTCAAATTAGTGTATATATGTACAGATTTACTTCTGAGTTTCCTTTACAAAAGTAAAGTTTCATTTGGACATAAGAATCTAAAATTAGCTCTAGGAGTTTTTTTTTTTACAAATAGTTATTTGGATAATGTTTTGTAGAGATTTCAGCAAAAACAAAATTGAAATGATAGAGGACGGTGCTTTTGAAAAGCTTCCAAATCTTCAGAATTTGTAAGTAAAATTCAGAAAAAAATATTTGTTAAAGTTTTATTGAAAGCAGCAAATAAATATTAATATACGCTAATCTGGCTTTAAAAACGGATCATGTATTTTAAGTTCCAATGTTTCAGAACCACCCCTGGTATGCTAGAATATTTTCTTTTTTACAGACGTCTAAACAGTAATAAGATTAGAGCGATAAGCAATGACACTTTCCGCATGGTTTCAGGATTGGAAAAATTGTAAGTACTCGTGGTACATATGTTAGAAAAAAAAAATTAGTAGAATGTCGATTTTTTCTAAGCATTTGAATAGGAATTACTTTCTTTTGGTTTGTTTAATGAATGGAGTTTGTGGAACATATTTTACAGAGAATTGCAAGATAATGCCATTCAAACAATAGGGAAACTTGCTCTACGGGATCTACAAAATCTACGAATGTTGTATGTAAATTTTCCAGTTCTAGTGCTAGTGTAAAACATTTATGTCAAAACTGCAGATAAGGCTACTTTGTTTGATATTGCACCGCCAATTTGGGGTAGTGGTGTGATATCAGGATTGTACAATGCTGATTATGTGATGCTGCGATATTGATAAATTGATGTTAAAGATGTGATATTAAACGAAAACGATATCTATCACTTCGTCTAACTTGTGACTTCGTATTACATCATCGCATCGTTATTCTTTTGTCCCATTGTATCATCGATACATTATCAACGTTCCATCAATCAAAACTTATGGCGCGAAAATGAACAAATGTCAAAGTTCGTAATTGATACACACGCAGAATAATTGATATTGTAGGTCAATGAGCAAAAATGAATTGGAGACCCTTCCAACAGGACTTTTTAATGGATTGGATTTAATAGAAGAAATGCAAGTATTTCAGTTTACTACATGTTTTTACCTTCTGAAAAAGAAATAGAATGTGAATATTTTTTTTTGTAATTTTCAATCTGCAAGTTCACTTTTTTGTATTATATTTCACATTTTTCAGACACCTATTTATCCATTTATCAGACGTCTGTTGAAAACATTTTTCAGATTTCTATTTATATATTTTTTAGATTTCTATTTATACATTTTTCAGATTTCTATTTATACATTTTCAGATTTCTTTTTATACATTTTTCAGATATCTATCTAGTAATAAACTTGCTGAAATCCAGAAGGGAACTTTTAAGAATTTATCAAAAGTGAAATACATGTAAATACTAGTAACTTCTAATACTTTGCTAATTCTTTTTAAAAAATATTATTTTTATCTATGTTGATTATTTCAAGAAGAATAAGTGTTAACAAAATAACAGATATCATATGTCTTTTTTTCTGAATTACAGTGTACTCAATAAAAACTTAGTGAATAGAGTTGAAAGTCATGCATTTGAGTCTCTTCCTGCTTTAGAGAGAGTGTAAGATATCATATTCAACAATTAATGTGAGAATTATATAAAATACGCTCAAAATATTCAAAACAATATTTGAAATAAAATAATTATATCAACAACGGGCTTCTAATATTTTCAGATACCTAGACGCGAACAATATAAAAGAAATGCAGAAAAACTGTTTTGGTAATGGAACGAAACTTGATCGTTTGTATGTACATGTATTCATATAGATACTAGTATACTTTCCTAAGGGATGTCAAAAATTGTTTTCAATGCTTAAATATGTACTTTCTGCTGTGGATACTTTATATTGACCATCTTAGGTATCTGGGTTCCAATCCCTTGATATGTGACTGTGGAATGAAGTGGTTAATGGACTACGTGAAAACCCATCACACCTCGCTAGAACTAGAGAGCAGGGAAGGAAGTCGTGTCGATGTGCTTTGTGACAAACCAGATACACTTAAAGGGAGACGTGTTCTGGATCTTCCTGAGAACAGTTTTTACTGTGGTACTACAACACTTTTACCTTTACTCAGCTTATACAAAATATCTTCTTCCCTTTCTCAGTTGATACAAATATAGTCTTCAGCACTAAATTTAGCGAGTAACAACTTCCTACATTGCTTGTGAAATTTCTAGAAAACACACAATCCTAAATCATAGAGTCCCTTTGAGGGAAAAATTTTCGAGAGGGTTTTAAACTTCTAACTTAAATATATATGTAGATAACGGACAATATTACAGCTCAAAAATTAAAAATACAATTTTCGGAGCAGAGCAAACTCGGACCACTAAGACATCAGAGGTGGGATCAGGTGCCATGAAGGAGTGAGCATCCCTTGCCTACCAGTCAACCCCGTTGTGTACTCCGTGTCATGATCAGGAAATAACGGGACAATCTGTTAACAATTGAGTTTGTAAATAATAGCTTCACAATTAGTATGAAAAACGTCAGTCAGCCATTGACTTATAAATAGATTGTATTTGCTGACAAGGTCATTATATCCATCATAGAACTTAAGAAATGATGCGACTTTAAACTTTGAATTTCAATCACACAGAATGTCATTGGGTCCAGACTCGATTATGAACTTTAATTCCAGAATGTCGAATTCCTGGAATCATGTACAGCGGGACAGAAAACAAAACAATGAAAGGTTTAGGATGTCAATATTGGTCAGATCAGAAACCACACAGACATGACTATGACATGCTTGGTATGAACCAATCAAACTACTGCAGAAATTTTGACCGTGACAGAGCATGGTGCCTGACCAATCAAACAGATGTATTGTGGGATTACTGCTATGTCCCGGTTTGTGGTATGTCTTACATCAAGTTTACTATTGAGCTTTTCATAAAGGGTATAAGAACGTTCTTGTTTAGGAATACAAAAATTTACTGATATTATATTTACATACTTATATTACAAAAATATAATTTTCCATTCTTTTCTAATTTTCCAAGGAGGTGATTTGTTTTGCTAAAAAGGGACAATGAAAATCATGTTTCCATTTTTTTTTTAAACTAATACTTGGATATCAATAGTACTCTTTTTTCTTATAAGCTGTATCAATATGATAGTTTCTTTAGTTTAAATATTTCTAGAGAGATTTGCTTATTCTTATAGGAAACATAAAAATATACCAACATTTCAGCAAATGGTACAAAAAAACTTCAAAACTTTAATCATCTTCATTGGCGTCGGAAGCAAATTGAAAGTGGGGGGGGCTAAGTGTAAAAAAAAAATTTTGTACCTTCAAAAAAAACCTGACAAGCAAAAAAAAAAAAAAAGGAAATGTCCATTTCCCAAACACGAAAATCCTATTTCGGGGGGGGGGGGGGGGGGGGGGGGGGTTAGGTTCCTTCAGTAACCACCACTTTCCCCATTTTTAACCGATACTAAGACATATCTGTGGAAAGTGGGGGGGCAAAAAAGATATGTTCAATGTCTATACTAAGTATATATTTGGAAAAAAAGTGGGGGGGGGGGGGGGGGGGGGGGGGGGGGGGGGGGGGCCCCCCTAGCCCCCCGGTTCCGACGCCTATGATCTTGTCAAATACATCTTCATTTCAATATTGTAAGAGTGTACATTGAGAAGCATAAATTTAGAATTGTTGCGTGAAAAGATTTCAATTTCAAGCTTTATTTTGAGACTTTTTGAATTAAGATATAAATTAAAGAGTAATCCTTCCTGGCTTAGGATCGGATATCCTTAAGAGGAATATGCTACCTGATTTAAAGTTAACATATTCAAAATTGAGCACATTGACTTTCCATAGACTAGTTGGTTTGATCATGAATTACCGATACAAATTTCTGTGCGCCTATCTATTGTATTTAGTTATGATTTATTGAATGTTTAAATTATGAATTAGCGCATTAATATCTGCTGTAAAGTCGCTAAAATGAAAAGCTCGATCGCTTTTTAAGGTATATCACTCGTGAAATTTGTTATATCAAGGATTTTTTGAGAAGTATGTTTTGGATTAGTACTCATATAGAATGACTCAAAATCGCACAGAAAATAGGGGGCCAGTCTGCATCTTACTGAGCTATTGTAAAATTCTGTTGACCTTTGTGCACTTGAATTATAACTCTTTGTTTAATTACTTTAACCTTTATCATAGTTTGCCAGAGGTAACCACGGCAATAAAAACATGTTTAATCTTATTTTACGTAAAATAGCTTGAATAATATTTATCATTGAACAAATCTTGCAAATTAATGCGCGTAAATTATTGTGTGACCTTTTTGCATTTAAATGTAACATATCTGGAATATCAAAAATCTAAATAGGCAATAAAACATTTTTCTTGTATCAACTTTTTACGACTCAATTGCTGATCAGTCACAAGTATCGAGTAGTTTAAAATAATGAAAGAAAAAGTTGAGAACAGTGTTGTTAACTTTGAAATATTGGTCCAAATATGTGATTTTCAGGCGAAAAACGGTGTAAATGTTATCTTGACTTCTTTAACATATCTTCATTTCCCGGCAAAGTTTGTTGAGGGAAGGTGTAAATTTTGTTTTAAAACGTAAATTGAGACCTATATTATATATTCCTAGCAATATCATAACGGAAAAGATTCTCCGAGTAAAAGTATGTGGGGCTAAAGTTCCAAGATACTATAACTTAAATAAATGTGCAGATTTGCAGAATTTTCTGCTAAATATCCTTCCACCACAAGAAATAGTCCCTCATAAATCTTGCTTTTTTTGGTGGATTTTTGAGCGTTTTTGTTTTTTCATTAAATACAGTTTAAACTGTTGATTTTAAATGTGTTATTTAAATTGAATTATAATATATAGTTTTGAAGTAATAGGTTCTACGTGAACTTTTCTTAAAATCTGATGAATGACATACCTTAAATACAAATGGTTTTGAAATATTTAAATTCTGTATTTTTCGTGAGTAGTAGATTGTAATTTAAAGGGAAAAAATTAGTCTCAATGAATGACCATCGTCTGTCCGTCCGTCCGTATATCTGTTTATCCGCAAAAAATGCTTTGATTGGTACCCACACCTTCGATGTATTCGATGCTAAGACTTTATACTTCACATGTATTTATTGTTACAAACCCTATTTCTGAGTATAGAAATATTTTTAACCTTTCGAATTTGATCTTGGAGTTTTGTCTACGTTTGAAAACTTAATTTAGCCTAAGCCATAACATTTGAACAGTTGCTGATGTGGTCTTTTTTTTATTGTAATGTAACATGTAATGTTTGTTAAAAAGACCTTCCTGATGATACCCCTAAGTTTGACCTGGAGTTTGACCCATTTTGAAAAAAATAAATTAATCCTGTCACTCACTTTGGATTGGTTGGGCTTTCATATTTCATATGTTTCACCTTTGCTCGGGCATTCATATTTCATGTATAAATTAATGAGACGAATTCTTTCTTTTTAACAGCATTCTCTTCTTCTTTACCATATTTACATTTGAGAAACCATAACCTTTGCTATTAGCAGTTATGGTTGGCGTTCACAAACACATCTACTTAAGTTGATTTCTCAGTAAAAATATTAAATGAATAACGATATGATAAGTATTTAAATGATAAATGTATTTCGTGTATCAAAACAGGAAATATCTGTTATGATTTGAAGTCTTCGAGATCCTTGCACAGATGTTCCATGAAAACCTTTCATTGCAGGTAATCTTTCATTAAAAAGCCGTAGGAAAAAACTCGCATGTTTAATTCACTTTAAATACCGTTATTCATGTCTCATCCATACAGAAATATTCAAAGTCCGTTCTTTTTTCTCCTTGAGAAAGATTCTGTGTATCACATTAACAATACCTAAAATGGCTCTGAGAAACTATTTCTTAAAAACAAAAAGAACATACATTGATAATGAATTGAAAAATAATTGAGACATTCAGTGCTATAAGAATGCACATACAGGAATCATTAACCGCTTATCTGCGTCCTGAAGTGTAATATGTTTTGGTTTTTAGTGAAATTGATAATTTGGTCAGTTGTCATATTTCCCACGTGGAGAAAACATATGAGATAGAATGCGTTGATTCCTGGATGATGAGGAGGGCTATCGTGTCCAACCTTGTGGAGCATAATGTAATTAAAGAGCAATTAAGACTCAAGTGTAAGCAATCTGGACTTGTACTCACCATTCATTTTAGCAGAAAGTAGTATGCATAGTAAATTGGCGGTCTTATTCTTTTTGTATTTTCTTTTCTCTGTTATTCTACATTAGTATCTTATATATTAACTGTGCAAATAATGAATGTACTATCTACATTTTAATAAATAGAAGAATTTAACATAATATGAAAATTAAATCTTTTACAGGCTTTCCCTCGCCATGCGCTTCTGAAAATTCCTTGAAATTAGCTAAGTCAGGGACATACACCGGTTTGTTGCCTTATTCCCAACAGATTTTCTGTTGGTGAGGATGTTTTCCTCTTCTGCTGATGTATCAAAATAAATAAATAAATAGATAAAAATAAAATGATATTAATAAAAATAATTAACTTTCAAAATAATTATACTCATATATGGGAATGAAAAATAAATAGTTCATTAAATGATTTATAAAACGATTTTGAGCAACTTAAACAAAATTTCAGAATATTATTTTTCACCAAGACCTCTTCTGGGGTATCACTAAGTCTGAATTGACAGTGAAACAGCCAAATTCTCTATGAATAACGATTCTCTTTTTGATTTAGGTCCGTGATGCGCCTTGTTAACAATGGAATAGCTGCCATTACAGATACAAACAAATCAGTATGTTATACTAGCGACAAAAGGAGGTTCCTAAGTGCCATACAAACTAAACTAGAGGGAATGTGGGATAAAACTAAATTTCAAATTCATGAATGTGAGACGATATAAAGATATACATTTACATTATTTGTTTGAATTTTTTAACGAAAAGATGTACAAAATAGATAAATATTAATTTAAGCAAGACAAAATCCACTAATAAAATTCGTTTTCTTTCTTTTTTTAATTCGTTTTCTTTCTTTTTTTTTTTTTTAAATTCCAGGTCCTTTAACAATTACATATGACAAGATGGAAGGTAAGCTGGTTAATAATCTGAATATGATACTTGCTGAACGAATGATTGCAAATCAATAATCTGATTTCAATTCAATCAATCAATCACATTACATCTTAATTTCAATTTATTGACAAAGTTATTTTTCGAACATTGGAATGATTATAGGTTTGTTTTCCATTTTTAAAGGAGAGATGGAGATCACCAGAAGCACCGCAAAGAAGATAGAGATGTTTATACTTACAAATTTACACTATGGTAATAGAAATATAAAGTTTCCTCTAACAATCTTTTTCTTCGACTTTCTTGATTTGTATATTGACTTCGTATTCGTTCGAATAATGCTAAATGGTTCTATAGTAATAGGTGGAATTGCTGGTGTTTTATTGATTTTGGTGTTTGTCCTTGTGGGTCGCCTTAAATTTAATAGGTAGGTATGGTCTTTTTATCTTTTTTCTGACAGTTTATGAAAAAATAAAGTCAAGTACAACGAAACGCGGCCATTGACCTTTCCTTCTGAATGTCTAATTAAAAATGTACAAACATCTCTTGGAAATAAAAAGAAAGGGCATTTGATTTTGCTGTGAAATATTTTGAAATGGAAGTTTAAAAATGTATTTTTTTTAGCAAAATAATTTCCAAAGACAAAAAAGAGTTACCCAACAGAAGGAGTTATCTTAATAATAGACAGTCCCACGTTTACCACGAAATCGTTGACTTTGACCAGAGCCTGAAGATGCCATATGAAATAGAGGAAAAGAAAGAGAGGGAAGGTCATTCTTATGTCACTCTTCAGCAGAAGGAAAGTGGTCCCAATGAGACGCCTACAATGGTAGATGCCAGTCACAATCGGTTGTCGGTCTTGTATATAAATACCGCCCATTCGGAGCAATATGATAAGTCGTCAAAGAGTAAAGACACATCACTAAAAGAAACAAGTATGTTCTTCAAAATCACTTATTAAATAAAAAATACTGGGTTTTTTGTGAACGCTGAAAAAATTCTTGGATTTTTTACAACGTGATTTTTATATCAAATATAAAGCCAACTGTAAATAATACCCGGTAACTATATCAAATTTTTAACATAAGAAATTTTCCGGTTTTAAAATAGTGAAAGATTTTTAATCCTACTTAAAATATTTCTGCTTTAATGTCATGTTTGTTTATGGAAAATTGTCAGAAATATTATATTATTACTAAATGTGCATAAACTTTCAAAAAATTATAGATTCCAAAAAATCTTTTTAGTAAAAAAACAAACAAACCAGAGAAAGTTATTCAAGAACTGGTTTGTATAAATGACATTTCAATATCAAAGGGAATAGCACCTTGTTTATTCTGAGTATTTATGGAGAAGATAATGGTTATCAGAGAACTTCCTTATTTGAAATCAATGTCGCTTTTTTCCTGGTAAAGAATAGAATCATTTTTATTTAATTTTCACCAATTCACTTTTCAAGTTGTGTTCTACAAAGGAATTTAATGACAAGCAAAATGGATTGATTTTCAATTGCTATCTTTTAAATCTATTACATGTAGCTAAAAGTTTCAAACTCAATTAAAGTGTAAAAAAATCTCTTTAAAGGGGCATGGACACAGTTTCAACTGAATTTTAAAACTAATTTTAATGTTTACAATTCCCACCTAAGGCATAATCTAAATTTCAAAAATTCGTCGCATAGCATTTGTTGATTAAGGAACATAGTTTTTAAGAGAGGGCAACGCTCTCTTTCAAGGATTGATTAATTAATTGTATGTTGTTTAACGTCCCTCTTGAGAATTTTTCACTTATATGGAGACGCCACAACTTGCCGGTGGAGGGCTACAAATTTTGTCCTTTACTCGCTTGGCACTTAGGGTCATTGAGCAGAATTTATTTCTTGCCAACATATATTAGTATATAAACCTTCGTAAATAAATATAATGTTACATGGCACGGACCTTGTTTAAATAACAATGGGATTCGATTCCGCGACGTAAGGATCTTCCTTATTTTGCGACAACTGATGTTCAAATTTTTGGTCATTGGAAAGACCTCTTTCAATGAGTGTAATTAAAAATCAAATGTCCTGAAACTAACTTTTTGGTGCTGAACATTATGTAAAATAAAATCTTTTTCCCGAACTTTAGGTTAATAGAATGAGTGAACATTTACAATATTTTTACAATATTATTAATTTAAATATAGAAAATTGTTTCAGATTTTTTGTGCTGCAACAATCTTGAGAAAGACATTCAGAGACATTGAATAGCAAAAAAAAAAAAACTGTAGGCAATGTGGCCATAATGCTTTTCTGCCTACAAAAGTCCTTATTCCTGATGGTTTTCTTAATTTTTCATTGAAAATGACAGTTTAAAATATGGTTTTTCCATCTGTTTGTCCTACGCTTTTTGGTATACACCTTCTCTTACCAATCCTACATGTTGATAAATCTTCATAGAAGGAATTACATATTTCTTCGTTTGATAAATCTATACTTTTTCATCCTACACATATTTTGGGTTTCCCATTATATTCATGTAAAAATGGAAAAAATCATTTAATAATTCACTGCTGAAACTGTAGTTCATCTTCAAATTTGTAATATATTTTTCACAAGCAGTTTTACCAATGTGTTATGAAAATTTCAGTTATACAGGAATAATATCAATTTTGATAAAATTTGGATTTTAATTTTTTATACACAATCCTTTGTTATATAAAACTTCTCTGTGAATATAAATGTATTTCAATTACAACAACATTATACATGGAGTATCCATCTACATTTTTTTATATTATAAAAAAATTAGTTTGAATTTAAAAACAAATATTTAATGACCAAACATAAAAACAGTGGTATTGTGAGAGTTTGTGTGCCGTACAAATTATCTGGTATGTAAATGAGGTTTTCCTTTTATCAAAAAAAAAAAAATCCATTTTTTTTTTCATAAATACAAGGCTTTCCCAATAAATAAAAAATTGTAGTTTTTTCCCTTCTTTCACCTTTTATGTTTCCATCTGTTGTAAAGAATTTTTCAAAACGCTATGTCCTCCTAAAATTTTAGTCTGATTTCAATATTACTTGGCACACAAGTAAACTACACTAAGATACATGAATTGCACCGGTTTTTAGTTATACCTGAGCCTGTTTTGTAAGGTGAAAAACATTATTTTTAGAGAGATCATATATATCACACATGAAAATAGTGTGTTTTTCCATCTGTCTAAAGTAAACTTTTCACATTTTGACTTATATAACCGCTGGGTGAATTTCAATTTTTGAAACTTGCCACAAAGTTCTCCTTATAAAGGGGATAAATACGTATATATTGAGCAGTAAACAAACGCAGAATTTCAATGGAAAATTCAAATTGGGAACAGAGCAAACAAGGACCTTCAAAGATATCAGGGGATCAAATGCCATGGAGGAGTAAACAATCCCTTTTAACTGGTCATTCAACCGTGTGTTCTTTGTCATGATTGGGCAAATGCAAACATCTGTTGACAATTCAAATTGTAAATTAAGTCCTAAAAAATTAATCAACCTTCGACTTAACGATATGTATTGTAATTGTTGACAATATGGTTGTTGTATCGATCATAGAATTTGCGAAGTCTACTGTGGACCTCAGATTATTGATATCCTTAATTGTGTCATCACTTTATTCGTTTATAATTTCTCGTCTTTAAAATCTTCTTCTACAAGAACTTTTTCACAGAAAGATGAAACTTTAATTCACTTTGCAAGTTAGTGTAGATAAGTTTTTATAAATAAGGGAAGGTACCTAGATAATTGAAAAATTAAAGTAATTACGTTTATCATAATTTTTTTGTTGTAGGTTAGCCATTAAAGTCTTTCTCTACATAGGAATATATTTTGGAATATATAGGAAAAATCTTTAAAAATCTTCGTATGGGACAGGAAAGAGACGCATGTGCTTCTTTTATTTCGAGTTCAATGGATATATTGATGAAAGTGAATATTGTAAATTGACAAAATGTCGATAATTGAAGAACACAGCAAGAATTTTCTCTCTTGTGGAAGTTTTTGAACAAATTCTGCTTCTTCAAATGAATGCAAAATTGGGTCTGCTAATAACGAACCGTTATAAGTACCATTAGGAATTTTAACCGATTACAATTTTTGTAAGTCTCATTTTCCAAAAGCTTCAAAGATATTGAGAATCGATTAACTATGCAGTACCTGTGATACTCTGGATGTTTTGTAACAAAATATTTTGGCAATTGATCGTTGACAATCTCATACATGAATATTGAAACTCTTCAAAGATTTCTGTACACAGATTGTTTAAATTTACTATTCATTACTCTTTGCGCTTTGCGCTGTAATTTTAATAATTCTTTTTTATTTTGTTTTTACATAGGAATATATAGGAAAATTCTTTCAAAAAGCTTCTACACCTAATATAACTTTGATCCAATTTCAAAAAGACTTGGTACACATCTTTAAATTATATTAACATACATAATTCTGGTTTTTGATTTTGACAAACGATTTTTCTGTTGCTATTAAAAATTGATGATGCTTTGATCATCTTTCCAAACATTGCATCTCCTGCAGTTTTGTTACAATTTCAATAGGAATTGATACACACGACACAGGGTGTTGCCTTGATATTTGAAATTCGATAGAAATAGTGTGATTTTGAAAAAAATCATAGAATTTTGGTCCCCCCCCCTTCTAGTTAAATTTCAGGTCTGATCTGATAATGTGTTTTTTCGATACATCATGTCTCTATATCGCTGTGTGATTTTTGATTTCCCAATATAATCACATGTTTCTTAAAAATAGAATTTTCTGTGGAAAATTCCTTAAAAACGCTACTTTTCTACAGTTTTGTTCGATTTCAATATAACTTAATCACACAATGGACTATATCAAGATACATAAATAGTGCATATCAGTTTTTGATTTGACAAACGGTGTTGCCATGGTTCTTAAAAATAGAATTTATCTGTGAAATTCATTTAAAACGCTACTTTCTACAGTTTTGGTATATATATATAACTTAACAAAGTAGACTAAAGTTGGGACATAGAATAGTGCAAATCATTTTTAATTTCGATAACAGTGTTGCCATGTTTTCTAAAAGAGAAATTCTCTGTGAAATTCCTTTAAAACACTACTCCTTCTACAGTTTTGGTCTGATTTCAATATAACTTGGCACACAAGTAGACTATCGCTGTCACTAAGATACATAAAATAGTACATTGGTTTTTGATTTTGATAAGAAATATAACCTTGCCATGGTTTTACTAAAAATAGGAATTCTGTGAAATTCCTTTAAAAAGACACAACTCTACAGTTTTGGTCTGATTTCAATATATATAAACATATGAGTATGTTCATTACAAGGTATCAGTCAGATACACATTAGATACATAGAATAGTGCATCGGTTTTTGATTTCGATGACACATGTTGCCATGGTTACTAAAAATTACAATTGATAAGTGAATTCCTTTAAAACGCTAAATCCTTCTACAGTTTTAGTTTGATTTCAAAATAAGTTGGCACACAAGTAGACTACACAAAGATACATAAAAAAGTGCAATGGTGAGTGCATATAGGCAACACCCATCAGCCACGCAATTCTAAATTTATAGGACCCGACACAGTGCTGTGATTTTTCTTATTTCTCTTTCATTTTGACATCGTTTTGAATAAGCTATTGCTTATTGACATAATTTTTTTTAGCAGTGTGTTTCGGCAGTTTTATATCGTATTGATGTATTAAAAATCTAAATCAAGGTCCGCCTTCATCAGGGTCCTGCCGTAATTTCTGTTGTGGCAAAATAGCATTTGTTAGCAAATCACCAATACTTTTATGCTTAGCATATGCAATCATTGGTTTTGTTTCAAAAATTTGTTTACATGTTTCATCTTTCAAGATTAATGACCAGTATTTTAATACTTTGGATTTCAGACCTTTGATTCTTGGATCATACTTTGTAATTA